TAACAATGAGCAATCTGAAAATGTCAAACAGCAGATCCCTGTGCAGCAGATACTGATGTGGAAGAGGACTGAGGGGCATGTGATACTTCTAGTGTCATACTTGACCTGGGAAATAGTTGTCTACTAAACCTTAACTCAAGGTCCACTTACTACTCGTTCTGGACCTTTATCACATGGTCCTCATCAGCAGATGTGTTTATATTCAAACCTCTCATGATCTAAGACGTCAAATCTTACGTGACACTGACAATAAATTCTTCACAAGTCAAAAAGCTCTGGAAAAAAGCAAGTAAATAAACCTTGAGTTGAGATTGTTTCGTCATTGTGTAAGCTCAATGTGCTGAAGAAGACCACGATATGGTCAAAAAAAAAAACAAACAAACAAAAAAACCCCCCAAAAAATATCCAAAAATCAAGACACATCAAAAACAATCTGACTGAACACATACAACTGATGAGAAGTGAGAAACAGTTTTGATGAATTTGGGGTGAAATAGAGTTTAAATCTCAGAATAAAAACAAAAGAAAAAAAAACTAAGAATCTAATTTATTTTTGAGAGTAACGTTAGATTGAGTGATTAGTGGCCAACTGCAGCCTTCCTGTGTGAAATATCAGTTCTCTGCAGATTCCTGAACAAGACATGAAATAACAGAAGTCAGAATCCTGAGCTCCGGTGGTCCACTGAGTTCAGATGGAGTATCATTGAACCGTTACGCCCCTCGGCATGCTGACTTCATTCTGACAATAAAACCGCTTAGCTCCCAAACCCCATATGACCTCATCCTCCTCTTCCAGACACACCAGTGTTATTGGGCTTCAAAACTAGTAGAACTTCATGGCCAAGTTCTTTGTAGCTGTATCTCTAATGACTCAAAGTGTCCTTCACAACCAAAACAAGCTCAGATCGATGAGGTGGTCATCATCTCCTGAACAGGTGAATAACTTGTCAGGTGTTAAGACCGGAGGATATGTAATATTTAATAATAAAAGGCCTTCATCGTCTCTATACATGAGTCTAACTCTAACCTGCATCCCATGTGTGCAGATAATGGACAGACTACAGAAGAGTCGTACAAACCAAACTCTGTGGAGCACCTTTCTCACTTAAAATCACCACATACTGAGTTGGCTGGTTCCAAACCCAGACCCAACTAACACCAGTTCATGCTGAACACACACACACACACACACACACACACACACTGTGTAACCACAGAAACATGCTGCTTAGACCGACCCGCCTCGACTGCATGTAAACAAAGAACCATGTGAATCAGCAACATGGCCGACACTGGCCGAGACTGGACTTCGAGTGACCTCTATAGTTACTGTTCTTATTGTAACAAATGTATCAACCACAGCTCATGTTGCTCTGTAACAGTTGGATGTGTAAATGAGAAATTATTGGCCAATCATTGATCGCCATATCAACGTGTCCACGATGAAATAATCAGCTTTAAAGTTGCAGTAATGTTTTTGGCCACATCCGCAACAAAGATGAAAACTCAACACGCAACAGAAACTTGTTATGGCTGATGTGTTAATGAACATTTACACATCCTGCAAACACATGACAAATTAATGGGAAAAAAAAAACAGAAAAACAAGTGTCTTAGTGAGGCGTTGCCATGAGCTGCCAGAACAGCTTGAATGTGACCTCCGGTAACATCTCTCAACTCTACTGGAGGATGAACACCTTCCTCCAGATGTTCCCTCATGTGGCGTTTTGCCGTCTAATGCATCAGTCCAAAATCACCCGTAGGTGTTAAACTGGACTGAGATCTAGTGACAGCTCCTTAAACATTCAGTGATTCCTGATGCCCTCTGGGTGGAGATGTCGTCGTCCTGTTTCTCCACTCATTTATCCTTTAATTTGTCACCCGACTGTGGCAACGACAGCTTTCATTTAAAGTTTATTCCCCCTCCTTTCAGTTCTGTTTTGGTCTTCACCAACTCTCAAAAAATATCTGGCTCTTTAGCTGCTAAATGCTCCACTGTGTTCACCACTATTTGTCTGGACAGTGGGTTTTTTCAGTAGCTTTCTGTAACATGTTTCAATTTTTACCTTTCACCTTTTCCTTCCTTCTAAATAAGTCGAGCTGGAGTTTTCTCTCCAACCTGTCTGACCACCAGACTGCTGGTGTTTCTTTTATTTGAGATCTTTAAATCTGTGGTTGTCCAATTCAAAAATACTTGCACTATTTCTATTCTTGGATGGTTTGGTGTAATGTTTCTCCACAGCACAGCAGCAGCACGTTTGTTTTCTCCACTTTGAGAAAAGCGAAGGAAACAACCACCTTGTTCAGCAATGGCCAAGACAGAAAGAACATTTTATTAATGCCCCCTGCTGGAGTAACAAGACACGGCCTATTGTGCTTATCCATTGTGAGGAACATATCATTCCAGATAGGAATAAATAAGATTTCCTGTGTTGGAGTATTTTGTACTTAAAAAGTACTTTTGTAATTAAAAAGTGAAAGCCCTGCCCATCAACTCGGTAAGTACGATGCCAGGAATGTTGACCAGAACCACCAAAATAAAACTGTAAATTATCCGGCTTCACACAGAGTTGGCTTTGGCTACTCTTCAGCTGCTTTTGTCTGCCCTCTTAACCTGGATAATGTGGTTGCACCTACCTGACGTGCTTTTCCCACTTCCTACTAGTTCGTATTTTGAATATGCTTCTTGTAACATTTCATGAGCTGCTCAGTGACTAAAACATCCAAATTAAGGAGGTGTTGATCCAGGACCATGACAAACAGTAAGACTGCCCTGGGGTCAGGGCTAGCAGCCCCCCAGTCTTTGTGCTAAGATAGCCTAAACTCGCAGACCTTTCTGCTTCATAGACTTGCAGAGGTGTGACTGATGGGTGTATTTCCTAACATGTCTGACCGTTCCATAAAAAAAAATGGGGGGGGGGGGAGTGTTTACGTTTCCAATAGACAGATCTTGTGATGAAAAGACATACATGATGAATGTGAAGAAGCAGTTTGTTGGTGTTTGGGTGGATGCTTCAACTGTATGCTCAACAGCCAAAACATCCACGTATCAAGCCAGCAGTCTCATTTCTTTTCTCAGCAGGTTTGGTGCCGCCCCCAGCTCCTGGAGGCTTTATCACAAACTGAGCCTTCCCAGCAAAAAATATTCACACTTCAGCCCCTGCAGATGACTCATGCATTGGATGGATGTTGGGTCATCACCTCCGCATGTCACAATTCTTCAATTAAAAAATAAAAGTCAAGGCAAGTCGCTCATTTACTTCGATCCATCTCTACAAAGTGCAAGTACACGAGTCACAAAGACTAAAACAAGCGTCAAAAGAAAGACTGATAGCGTCAAATAAAGCGGTTCTGAAAATGAATCCATAAAACAAAACTAAAGAAAAAAAAAAAAAAAAAAGATTCACATAAATAAGTAAATATCTGCAGGCCTGCCTGTACAGAAAAAGGCAAACAATGACAATAACAAAATAAAAAGAACCTGTAACACCTACAAACCCCTAACACACGCTGGAATGAAAAAAAGTACAGGTGCATGTGTGTAGAAAAGGTAAAAGGTGTGATTGACCGAACATTTTCAAGACTAACGGAACTCACCAGAAGATCACTGGTCCTTTCAGCAGATTAACGCTGCAGCCCATTACTCAGCAGCTGCAACAAGTAAGGTCCCCATTTTAAGCTGAGTGCAATATTAAAGCCACATGTTCAACAAACCAAATAAAAAATAAAAACAAAAAAGGAAAAAAAACGACAGGACATGCACTTATTGTCACAAAAAAAAAAAAAAAAAAACTGAGGTTGGGTTTTGTGGAAAAGCGTCAGAAGCTTTGTTGCAAAGATGCCGTGTAACAACTTTGAAGCTTAGAGAAGCCACAAGTACTGTACACTCTCCTTATAGCTGAGCACAAAGCCTGGGCAGCAGCTCGGCTTAGACCAGGCTCTTTTAAAAACACCTCGTTTAAACTCCATCATCAAACAGATCTGAATCTTCCTCCCTCTGAAGAAGCTCTTGCGGTCGACGAACCGCGTCACGCTGCAGAGTTTTCAACCGGAAATCTGCAGTCACAACCGCTTTCCCTGCTTTCACATAAACACGAAATCCTTTGAAAAAAGGTAGAAATATCCAACACCATCTAAAGCTCACTAATCAACATCTGCTGGCTTAAACCAGGTCCTTTAAAAGGGAACAACAAATCCCTCTCATGTAGCTTCCGTCATCAAACAAATTAGCATTTTTCCTTACAAAGAACAGCTACTGTTGCTAGCCAAATCTATGGAAAGCACTGCTTCTCCTGCTTTCAAATGCAAAATCTTGCCATAGATCAAGATCTGTTGCTGTTTCTTCACTGGTGTCAAATTTATTGGAGGCAATCAAGAAGGCAAAATACAGTATTTTGCAGAATTTGGTCAGCAATAAGCCCAAAAAGACAAAAAAAAAACAAGCAGAGGCCTGTGCTGCATGACCAGGAGGGAAGCTTTAATCTAAAACAAGCTACCATCTCTTCAAAAGAAACAAGACAAAAAAAGCTCATCATTCCTAGCAACTTGCTAGCTAAAATCTGAAACATGAGAAACAAGATGAAAAAGTAAAAATAGATCTATCTTTCAAGTCGTCTTCCTTCGGGGGGGTGGGGGGTGGGGGGGGGTAACCCTTGCTGAGTGACCTCCAGTTTTTCCTGGGAACAGGCTAATGTCTGACCTTTCATCATCTCAAGCGTCAGATGGGAGGCTGCTTCTCCTTCTACGGGCCCCGTTCTGCCGTCACTCAAAGTGCAGTTCAGCGGCCCAGCTGATAAACCAGCCTCCCTCCTCGCCTGCATAGGAAACGGCGAGATGAGCGGCGGCACCCAGAGCCTCGACTTCTCCTGACGTTTCTCATCCGTCTCCCCTTCCTTTCCCTCCAGCAGGCAAGAAAACTGTTTTGGTATGGATATTTTTTTTTTCCTTTTTGTGTCACTCAAGTTGCTTTTTTTTTTTTTTTTTTTTTTTTTGTCTTCCCTAATTCAGTTTTGTCTGTTGCTGTGGCTGTTTGCCTGCTGGACAGCTTTTGGTTGCCTCCAGTGAGGCTGCCTTCTTCAGGTTGATAGAGGAAGAAAACAGCCCGTTCTTTGAAGCTAATTTTTCATTTTTTTCAGTAATGAATGAATCCACCGCAGGGACACGAGACTTTTGAGAAGTGACGAGGGATGGGCTGGCGGGATCTGCAGCACTTATTTGAATGCTGAAAACTCCCCTGAAAGATAAGACATGGAGAAAAATGAGTGTGTAAGCACTGATGCAGCAGCCATAGTAATGTCAGCCATCAGGTTTGGCATCTTTTCATCACATTTTACCTCAACCAATTCAACTGAAGCCGGTGGAAGTGGAAATGGATTTATTTGTTTCGTTATTCATGTATAATTATATTATTTCAGCCTGGCGTAACAAAAGATGAAGCATTACAAGCAGCGCCAATGGTAAGAAATGGTAAACACTTCCTGTCTCCTAAGTGGGCGTGGTCATGATTGTTTGTTCATGTCAAATCATAGTTATTGTAATGTGTGAAATTCATCAACTTTTATAAATGAGTCATAAATATTATAAATGAGCTATTATCTATAACTGGTAAAAGGATCCTGATAGTAACTCATTAATAAATGATGATGTGATATGTTTACACTTTACAATAAGGTTCCCTTTTGCAGCTGCTGACCGGATGTCAAGGTACACAATACTGCGCATGAATCTGAATCCTGAAACTTTTTGACCATTAAGATGCGGACACTGGTTAAGCACTTGTAACTTTACTTATATGTGATGAAGCAGCAGGTACAAACGCTGATGCTGAAGAAAACAAAGAAAGCTCAGTCACTAATGAGATATGAGGCTGAACAGTTCAGATACATGTGGGCTCACTATTTGGCAAGCAACAGGTCACTGTTGCCCTCTAAGGTGTTATAATAGTTTATAAATGATTTATAAAGCGTAAACAGCTAATTAATAAACTAGTTATAAACCATTCATACATCCTTTATAATGGTAGTGTTATTGTTAGTTGGTACCAATCTTTCTATTCAGATTTATTCTGGTTTAAGACACAAATGAACGAGAAGCTGGAACAAAAAGGTCTCTGAAATCTTCAGTGGGGTTATGTTGACCAAAAAAAAGGGTCAGGAAGTTTAATCTAATTTTAACACGGTCTGAGTTTAAAAAAAGACAGAATCCTTAGTCGTAGAAATTTAGCGTTTAAATTTAATAATTTTTAACCATTACATTTCCTTCTGTTTGTGTTACTACCAAGATTTTTCCATCTTGGCCCCCAGATAAGCATATAAACCACTGTGGGATGCTCCAACTGCATTGGATTACAACACAATTATCAGTTTTATTGAGAAAGTTTCAGAGATTTTCATTCCATTCATTTGAATAATTCCAACTTTACCATTTATTTTTGTCCAGTGCTATTTTACTGTCAGTGGAAGACTTCCTGCACAGATGTTTCACATTAAAAGTCTTCCAGCAGCTCAAAGGGCATAACCCCACCACTCTTTCTGGAGGGTTCTGTTTATTTGACAGAACCTGACTGGGACGCACTTGTTGGTCAGTGCCCAATTACGATTTTTAAAGTTAAAAACAATAAGTGCGTCCCAGCCAGGTTCATCACTGTGTTGTGAGTTTTTGAAGCTCATGTGTTGTCAGACTGATGAAGATGTTTTCTGAATTTGTTTGCATGCGTTTTCTTAGGTTGCAGCGCTTTGAGCTCTCAGGGCCACCGTAGATTCTAAACAACAGCACCACTAACTGTTTAACAGAGCTGGTATTTATTGCTGGATGACTAATGAAGTGTAAGACTAACTGATACATCAGTCTAACCTTGTTTCCATCAGTACTTTAGAGGACTGATACAACAGGAATCTTTAGTGTAAAGAAATACTTGTTAACTGATGCCACTGTTGGCGATACGAGTTTGTCACCAGTGCTGTTAAGACAGATGTTTGTGTGTATGGGCTCACCATAGCCACCGGCCTGGATGGGGGTCTTGGGTGAGGCGCAGGCGTACAAGCTGAAGTCCTCCGTCTGAAAGCCGGCCCGGTTTAACGAAGGCTCCGAGGCGCTGCGGTGGATTTTGGGTAACGAGCGAGCCAGCAGCTCAATGGACGCCAAGATCTGACAGAATACACAGATACAGCCGCAGACTCATCAGTCAGAATCAGTTCAAACAAAACCAAGAAAAATGTTGAGCTCTTTACTGAATCAAAGCCTGTTAAATTCCTCAGTGGAGCAGAGCAAAGCATAGGTGTGCTTGTGCGGAGGAATATGGTAGTTCAACGGTTGAGAAAATATAGTTCCAAAGGAAAGGGTAGTTTGATAAAAAATAAAAAAAAATAAAAAAAATAATTCAAAATATAGCGTATACTTAAACTGGTATTAGCTTTTTCCTGTGGGTATGTTAAGAGGCTAAATTACACTTACATATATGATTTTAAATAAATAAAAACCTGACATAATCAAACAATAGATGGCGATCAAATTTAACACACTAAGTGTAACACTAAACTAACCAAATAATATATATGCACACAAACATATAACATTACAATATCAATCAGGTTGACAACCTAAATAAGATAAAGGGTAAAATAAATAAATAAGAAACCACAACAAAGGCAAAATAATTCAGATTCGTCATTACATAATTAAAAATTCTACTGCAGGTAGTAACACACTGACTATAGATAACTACAGTACGTCAAAATAACGCAAACGATCACTTTAACAGTGATAAGGGAAGAAAAAGTGGTTGAAATTAATTAATAAATGATGATGACCTCAGTTAAAAAGAGAAAATCAAAGCAGCAGAGTGGTGAGTCTGACAGGACTCTGTTGCTGGACTGATGAAATTAGTGCTTAGAGAAACAGGATGACAATGCCTCTGTTCGTGGGGCACTGGGGTGAATGGTTTGACACCAAATGAGGGAATATCTTTTGCAAGAACGGTGTTTCAGTTTCAGAGACTTCAATCAATGCCAACACATTCCTAAGACACTTTATGTTGGTTTTTTCCTTTAGTTTCCTGTCTGTATATTATACTTAATTTATCAAGAGGTAAACATAGAGGAAAGGCAGCATGTCTTACTAGCATCTGATAAAATCTACAGTGGCTCGTATAAATGGGGTTAAAGAGGTGAATGTAAATATGTGGCTCTCTAGCCTAAATACACAGTATACTCAAACACAGTGAAAGTTAGAAATGAAGGCTTGTTTCTAATACAAAGCTATTTAAAATAAATAGCTAGTTCTCTCTGCTGTTGAGGTCGAGAAAGAGGATTTATAATATTCAATCAGCTGTGGTGCCCTCTTGTCTTTAATGTAGCCAATCATACGCATCTTTCGCCTTCCCAATGAAATAACAGCATCAACGTCTGTTTTTCACCTGAGGGAAGAGAGGTCGCTCCTCTCTCTTCTTCTTCAGGCAGTCGGCCATCAGTCTCTTCATGGCCTTCGGACAGTTGCTGCGCACCTTACTGAGGTCAGGAGACAGGTAACCTCGACCCACCATAAATATGATCTGTGGGTAGAGAAGATATGAGTCATTAGAATATTTAAACAGAGATTTTGTCACTTCTACTGGAGCCCAAATGTTAATGTTATGAAATGTGACTGGACTGTGCCACGATAGAAATTTTCCATGGTTTTCTTTGTCGATTAGTATTAAGTGAATTGATTGAATTGAATTGAATTGAATTAAAACATATTATATTATAATTAAGTGCCTTTGAATGATGCATGGATAAATATCATTTTGTTTCCTTATAATGAAAGAAGATTTTAAACTGTGTCTGACTGAGGCTCAAACATGTGGCTGAGTCTCTCTGAAGTTTCCTCCTCTAACCATCTTCATACTCTGCTCTTTCACCTGTCCACCTGGAGCAAGCAGCTGGTGGGCGGGGCATAAGGCCTGATACAGATTTGTCTACCAGGAAGTAAGAGCAGACGAGCTAGAGGAACTTTAATTAGTGACTTGGAAGGTATTTATTTGATATTTGGACAGAATCAGTTACCCTCTGCTTCCGGTCTTTGTGCTAAGCTAGGCTAACCATATCCTGACTCCAGCTCTTTCCTGAACACGCAGACATAATACTGATTTCCATCTGAGCGTCTCACTCTCTGTTGACCTTTTTCTTTGATTATCATAACTTAGGTTAGAAGATGCTTTATCACTGATGACAAAACATGATGGATCCATTTCAAAACACAAATTTATAAAAAAAAAACATCTTATTTGGTGGCAAGCAATGTGATTTACTGAGTCCTCTCACCTGGTCTCTGTTGTTGATGTTGGAGTAGGGCAGAGCTCCTGACATGAGCTCGTACAGCACGATGCCAAAGGCATAGACGTCTGACTGGAAGCTGTAGGGATTCTTGTCCTGCAGCCGGATCACCTCTGGAGCCTGAGACCAGCATAAGTCACACGGACTGTCACATGACCCAAAGAAAACTACACTACAACTTCTTCTAGCTGCTGGCTCCAGTGCAGTGAACACACACCCTTTTTATATAGGTTTAGGAGTGAAAAATATCTGTATCTCTGAATTGTCAAAAAAGTACGTTCGTTTCCAAATGTAGCCACTATTATTACTAAATATTATATTATTACTGCTTTAAGAATTTAACTATAAATTAACTATTATTACAATTGATAAACTGGTAAAATAAAAATTTAGGGTCACTGACCATCCACAGTATCGAGCCGGACAGCTGTTCAAACTGGTGGGAGCCACTCCAGCGGGACTTGACTGTAGCCAGGCCAAAGTCACCGATCTTCACCGTCAGATCCTCGTGGAGGAAAATATCTGGGAGGAGAGGAGGTCATGGAAACAGTACTGTGTTCTACGGATGGAGGTTATATTTTCAAGTCGGGGGGTGCTGGGGGGACAGGCAAATGTACATTCGGTCACACTCACACATATCCTTTGTTGGCAGGTGGGAGATAGGAAAATGTTAGCACCTATAATAGTAAAAATACTTACTCATAATACATAGTGTGTATAAAAAAGAAGAAAATCACTTGAGCATATGTATGTAAAACGACATCTGTGTAACAGTTGATGACTGAGCATATGTAACATATGGGTGTTTCATCTCTGGCAACAGCTGATCAGTGCTGGTGTCAGCTCTAACGTCTCAGGTGATGTCTAAACAATGTGCCCACCAATGGTATAGTTTGGGTAAGTTTGTTTGAGCTTGTTAAAACTAAATTACGTGATAAACAAGTGTCTCTCCTGAGATGAGTGAGGTTTTGAAAACATAATACTATGATAGTAAACCTCACGACCTGGTAAGGCTGAGGGAGAGAGCGGAGGAGACCGGGTAAAACAAAGAAATTAAAAATATAATCCTTCAATCCACAAACTAGACGACCTAGCAACGGTCCTAAGATGTCAGTAGACAGTTTTTCCTTTGTCTGTGGGTGATTTTTTTAATGCAGGGTGTCTGCTTGACTTGTATAATCTGAAGCGCCCGTGGGGGGCTCCTATTCTGTGCTAGACTGAACCGTGACCAGGACAGATCAGAGTTTGTTTGTGTACATGCCTTGTTGCAAATAAACTTGCACCGACTGAAATGCTCAGAATCCGTGTGTGCTAAATGAGTCCTCGTCTACGGTTGATTTTAATTCACCTGTTCAGAGGGTTTCTGTGGAACCTCAAGCAGTCGGAATGGGGACCTGATTTAGTTTCAGTTGTGAGAGGTGCAGCTTTAAAACCAGAAGTTTGCTGAGATCCAAGAAAAAAAACCAACACAAGAACAGAATGATCTTGGCCGAAAGACTGCTTTAGTAAAATGCTTCTAAAAGGATACTGTTGCTCTTCAGATCTCTATGGATGATTGATTTGGCATGCAGGTAACTGAGGAAGAAGAGAAAAGTTATTAGAGGACTACACACACACCATCTGACTGCTTTTGCTTTTTTTTTTTCCGGGGGGGGGGGGGGGGGGGGGGGGCACGACGACAACTCACTCCATGCCCTGAGCAGTCTGCCGGGCGATGTCAATCAGCTTGATCATCTCAAACTTGGTCTCGATGATGTGCAGGTGGTGGTACAGACTGGAGCCTTCACACCACTGGGTCACTATGGCCAGCTGAGGCTTGGTGGTGTAGCCCATGAACAGCAGGATGTTCACATGACGCGTTTTCCTTGGTGGAAACACACACACACACACAGGTTGATGAAAATACACAAGTGCAGATGTTTTGTGTAGCTTTGTTAAAAAGGAGGATACTTCAGTAATATCATATTAATTTGCAGTGCAGTTTAAAAAAAGGTGCAAAGTGCACAGGTTCTCCTGATTTAAGAGCAGGTGGCTGAAGTTACCTGAGGACTCCCACTTCATTCTTGAAGGCCTGAAGCTGCTGTGGCGTGGGAGCAGTGACATTCAACATCTTCACTGCCACATCACCTGAGAGGAGAGGGAAGGCCTTTCAGGATCCACGGGAACCAAGTTATGTTTCACTACTGTAAAAGCTGCACACGTTGCACACTGCTACATGAGGCCACAATGCGACTGTGGGTCAGGCTCACACTGACTGGGCGTCCACATACTGTACTTGACTAAATATAAGCCTATTTTTTTTTTACAGTGCTTAAGAGAGAGACACTTTTGGCACTGTTGAAAAATGTGATAAACTTAATTTTTTAAGTAACCGTAATTAAATATACATTGAATCTGTGAACGTAAAACAACCTGACTTTTGAAATTTCTAGACAGGGAAACCATTGTTTTATATTCAGGCAAATACTGACAAAATTCAAATTATAGGCCTGGTTGGTTTGGCTACACCTGTGGTTCCAGGTGGCAGCAGGTGGAATTTTTCTTACAGTCAACAAATCCCGTAAACGAGCAAATCCAACAATGTGTTAGTCCAATTTTTTGACACTTTCTGACTTCCCTACCCTGTCTGCGACCCTCAGCTCAAAACCCATTGGTTCTATTGAATATGTAACACATAGTTTATTTATTTATTTATTTTTTAAGAAAGGCTGGTCACTGTAGTTTTTACGATACATTACTCAGATAGAGGACATAGTACATCTGTTTGGGACTATTTTTAACATTGGGTGGTCTGTGGACTGTGTATGTGGGATTGAGTCAAAATAAAGTGTGTGTGTTCATGGTGGTGTGACTCAATGTGTTTTTTTTAATTTAAAAAAAGCTCCCACTAGGATTTAAATAGTTTTCTTTTCTTTTTCCTTTTTTGCTGGTCGGATAGTAAGTGTGTGCTGCTGTTCTTACCATGCCACTTTCCCTTGAAGACAGTTCCAAAAGATCCAGAGCCTATCCTCTGACCCAGAGTGATCTGACCCTCAGGGATTTCCCAGTCATCACTGGAGTCCCTTCTCCCCAGGGTTTTCTGTTTTACAAGGCACAGTCAGCACAAACACAAACACACACACACACATTGAACTGCAGAAAAAAAACTGTAATCTCTCACCATCTTATTGCGGTCCTCAGACGAGGATGACGACTTGCGCTCCCTCTGTTGGCATGGTGACTTCTGTGGGACCTTGACGTTGGTCAGAGAGCCAGGTAAAGAAGCAGGTGGTGTGGCCGACAGCCCTGTGGTGGAGCCTGGAGTGGGATCATGGATGAAAAGAAGAGAAACAATAAAAGAAGAGGGAGTGAGAAACATGTCAAAAGAAGATGAGATGAAGCAGAAGAGTAAAGAAAGAGAAAGTTTGAGGCAAGGACAGGGACTGAGGCATCTGTATCAGTTGTGTGTGTTTGGTCACATGCACAGAGGAGAGGTGGGGGGGTGCTTTGTTGGATGGCAGTTAATGGTTTAACAATCTAGACATCACAAAACCATCACAGTTATTAGCTACCTCTGTCAGAATTACAAGGATGTTATGATGTCTAAGAGGAAGCTGATTTTAAACTGTTGCCGATAAATATGGAAGAAAAAAAAGAGTACATCACAGAAATTGGTTCCAGGACATGCTTAACACAAAGACTGGAAGCAGAGGCAAACTAGTAGCCTTGCTCCATCAAGAATAGTAATATATGTCTTCCAAAATCAACGTCTTGAATCTGTGAAATTTTGAAATCCATGTAAACAACTTTAAAGGTTCTGTAAACCAGATTTTAAACAATAATGTAGCAGCAAAGAACTATTGTGTGTGTAAAGATATAGTAGACCTTCTCTTTTCCTTGTTTTGGCAGCCGGTCTGGTAGAACATGCATATTTCGTGCATGTACTTGTGCATGTTAGTGAATGTGAGTCCCTCCTGTTCCCTCCTGTCCGTTGGTCCTCCCCACGTTTATAAAAACAAAGGCCCCGCCCACAAGTGAGATGGCACAGTGCAGTACGCAGCGTTCAGGTGAAAGTGACCTTCAAGAATTTCCTCCACTGAAGAAGAAACCATGTTTTCAGCTATAAAGACCTCAGACAAAGAAAGAGATGGGACCAGAGCATAGGTGGACTGGACATGGGGACTAATGGCTCAAATCCCGGTCAGCTGGTGGCCCATCAAAACATCCATAAAGTTTTAAAAGTTTTTACCAGCTCCGTCAGTGTCATTACCGTCTCTGTGAGTATCTAGCTCCGTCAGTGTCTGTATCTGTGTTTTTACTGGTTCCATTAGTGTCTTAACTGAGTCTGTCAATGTTTTTACCAGCTCCATTACTGTCTTTACTGGCTCCGTCAGTGTCAACCGGTCCCACCAAATAAGTCCAAGGCTGAATTTCTTTCCCAGTCCGACCGTGGAGCCAATAATGATCTGGCCCTTCCGAGATGGAGAGCCCTACAAGCTGCTAAAGGCTCCAGCTTGACTCAGAACTGTTTTTTCTTCTCCTTGATGTGTAAGTAACTTGATGGTTCACAACGTTACATGTCTGTTTTCATTAGTGACCAGCTACAGTAGACGTGAACGTGTTCGGCAAATGTTGCTATCACTAGCCGGCTTACTGCCAGCATTGCTGTGGCATATCACAACAATGTTAGCGTGGGCTAATGGTTGTGGCTGGATTGTTTATTGTTGACTCTTGTGTACGCCATGTAACTCTATTCTGTTGTGCTTCTTGTTATAAATAAATACAGCAATATTTCAAAGTTATCATTCTCTTTCAATATTACGTAGTAATGTTCAGAATGTTATTATATAAATAAACATGACATTTCTGTATCTGGCTTGGTTTGAGTTTGAATTATTTCATCTGAGACTACTGATGTAGAAGCCTTTGTGATGATGTTTGGTATAAACATATCTTGTTTAAAACTATGCAGGCCAGAAACACAGGGCTGGAGTTTAATTTATACACCATCATTGCAATTCAAATCGCAATTACATTATTGGTCAGAAAAAAAAACACAATTTTTCTCAAATTGTTGACAGAAAACTTTTTTGGTGAACTGTGAACTTACCCATTAAAGGCTTCAGGATATGCTTATTATGTTAATTTAAACAGCCATCTACATGAATGTAGTTATGTTTGTGCTTTCATGCCGGTAAAAATTTCATTCTAATGCATTTTAAGAGTGGATAAGCCTGGAATCATACTATCATTTACTATTGTGCTATCATGAAATTGATCTTAACAACTGGTGATTAGTTCATCACAAGGGTTAACTAATAATTGAACAAAGGAGCATTTTTTAGCAGTGAAACCACCATCCATAGAATAAGAAGTGTCACATCAGAGTAGTGGTGAGATCTGTGTGTAGTCTGTGTAGTGTCAGGTGTGTGGCAGAGAGAAAGAAAGAGGGGGGTACACACAGTGGATGTTGTGGATGGGACACACTGGTGGGGGGGTTGGTGTGTGGGGAGGTTGGGTGGTGGGATGGGTGGTGGGATGGGTTGGGGGGGGGGGGTTGCAGGTTGAAAGACACAGGAACACACGGAGGCCTAACTACCTCGGAAAACAGGCTCGGGCTCAAAATCAAACACTATGTCATTGGGGTAGGAGTATAGGAGGGGGCTTGAGGTCCGTGTTCGGTGCTTCCTCAAGCAGCGGGCGGGGTGGGTCGGGGGGGCTGCAGGGCAAAGAGAGACAGACAGACCATCACTGCTACTCACCCTGCCCCTCTCACCTCTAACTACTGTCCAAGGATACAGCTGAGCTCCTGAATAGAGAGCCCTCCTACCACACTACAGTTAGCACGTTAGCTCAGCACTGTTTCAAATTTATATTCATCTATAATAAATCTCAGTCTTTAACATTTTGGGAAATTTTCTTTTATAAGAGTGAGATGTTCAGATGGATATCAGTCTCATGCAGTCAGTAGTAACAGTAAGTTAAGCTTAGCATAAAGACTGGAAGCAGGGGAATCAGCTGGCTCTTTACATCACTGAGACCACAGCATACCTCTGATTTACTGTCAAACTTCTTTGTGATTTTATTTCCACTAAACTTTTGTAATGAAGTTGAAAAGATTCATTAGATATACGTGTGTTCCTCCTGATCTGGCAGAGCAACTCTAAGTAAGACTGGAAGAAGAAAAAAAATAAAGTTGGCTGAAGAAGTGGAAGTTCTGTTCTTCCAAAAAACTGACCCACAGATCTGAAAAGTGACTGGTTGCAGGGCTAAACAGAACTGACTCAACTCCTCGGGTCTGAACTCCACACACACACAAAAGACCAAGAGCACGCAGACGGAGGATGGTGGGAAAAAAGCCACAGAATGAGCCTGAAGTCTGCTACTGTGATCCTTACCTCCGTCTGACCTTGGTAAGCCCTGATCTCGAATCAGGTCCTGAAAAGAAGGAAGAAAGAAAATAAATAATAAGAACACTGTTAAAAAAAAAAAATAACCGACACACAATTTACTATACAATTTACCATAGTACCAAGTACTGAGGTTGTTTGGTGTTCACACTAAATGTCAGGTCCGTTTTAGAGGGAATACATTGAAAAACACAAGTGGACATGAATAGATGCAACTTTAACGGTAGTGACGTTACGTGAGACACATCGAGGCTTCGAAGTGTGTGTCGAGTACAGCTGTGCTTTTCCGGTAAAGCGCGCATTGATGCCTGTATCATTTTAGATGTATGACGTAACTGACGACATGTGAAGCCTCGCATCTCGTCTGTACCACGTGACTGCTTTTAGTGGTGGTTGGAGTTAATAATATATTACATTAGACCTCAGAGAAATGCCTTTAAATAGTTTTAGGTTTATAACACTTATTGACATTGACTGGTTGTATTTGCAATGGATCCACCAAGGAAAGACTTATCCAGTTTGATGACACTTTGATCTTATTTCTTCCAATAAAAGTACAAGTTTAATAGTGTACAGTTATTGTAGATACTTTATGTTTATTGACATATATTTTTTCTAGCACATATATCAATTGCTTTCACAATAATTACTGTAAAGGTAACATTTGTATTTGCCTATATTGATGATTCTTTTGCCTATATTGATTTTCTTTTTTTAGATGTCGCTCTGTTTACATGACGCATCAAGAAATGAACCTTTTCTCGAACCACTTTGCTGGAATGGTTCAGTGCTTCATGAAGCTGTATCACCATCACTATTTAACGGTACTCTTATTGCTCCCATACTTTAACTGTACTCTTATCGGTACTTTTTGTTATTTTGTAAGAAAAAACTAACAAATTAAGAACAGAATTAATATTGCTTTATTTTCTAATATGTATTCAATTAACATTCTTGAGTAGAAAACTTCTCAATTGGTTTTTAGTCAACTGACGACACCTAGAGACGATGCAGGAATTGGTTTACGGTTTGCCAGACACATGAAAACAAGCCAAACTGAATTACACAGCGTGGACACGTGGGCCTTATTGTAAACAATAACACACCCACGTGTATGCAATTAAATAAGTGGACATAAAACCATGTGCAAAATGATACAATACATAACAATGGCAGCTTTGGACTTATCAGAGGAAAGACCGAATGCTGCAATTAAAAGAGAACGGGTAGTGAGAGACCACGCAAAATTTTTTTGGTCCATGATGATGATGAGTGGCTTATCAGCCGTTTCAAATTTCCTAAAGCAAACCTCTAGGTCCAGCTTTGGAGAAGGACACGGCGAGGACACGCATTACCTGTTCCCCTACAAGTGCTGACCACAGCCAAACATGACTGCATGTTTTTTTTTTTTGTTGGTTAGCTTGTCATCTCTGGCTAAAGACTAGAAATCAGTGAAATCATCTGCTGTTTGGCTGTAGTGAAACCTGCAGAGTCATGGTGGCCAATCATAGTTAATGATGTAGAAGCACACATGAATCAGTCGCTCCGGGGAGGACAGACTCACATCGATGTTGACGGGCTCAATGGTGTTAATATGGACGTTGGGGGCGGAGGACGAACGGTCCCGCTGGCCAAACTGGTTGCGGTGGTCCTCCTCATTGGGCCGGAAACTGGGCGGGATGGGTATGGACTTGGACGGGGACACAGTGGTGTGACATATAGACCTGGAGAGATGAAATTTGTTGGTGAAAAGTAGTTAAAAAAAAAGACTTCAATAGACATCTCTCTGCACAAAAAACCGTTTGGATGTTGTGTTGCTAAAAAAATAAAAAAACGACTAGCAAAGCAGTTAAGGAGAAGAATGACTCCTCTTATTCCACTGAGGAGGTGAAGGTGGAGGACTCACCCGGTGGAGTCAGATGGGGGGAGTGATGGACAGGCCTCAGACACAGGAGTGGTTCCCTCTGAGGACACCTCCTCCTGGGTGAACGGGTGATGCTCAAAGAACTTGGACACGAGCAACAAGCTGCAGAACACACATCATTAAGGTTATTTATTACTTATTTACTCATTCCCAACTCTTATTATTACTTAGAATTGGATCATGAAAAACTAGATAGACAAAAAGACAAAAACAGCATATAACACTCATTACAACCATTTAGAAATACATTTATTAATTCATGAATAAATTATTTGAAAGTTTTGATAGTTAGAAAAACTATTTGAAAAGGAATTTTAAAAATGGGAATACATTCCCGGATTCCCTCTTCAATTTCCATTTCCTTTTTCGAGCTGCTTTTCCTTTTCCTATTAACTAATCGATTAGCGTAGTCCTTTAGCTTCTCCTGTTAGCTTTTCTGTGACAGTCTGTGCCTTCAGTGCTGGTAAAACACACTGGTTAGCTCTCCAGCCAATCAGAGAGCTTGTTACATCCCATGGCCGATTGGGATTGTTTAGCCTGGTTTTACCAGGTTTATTTAATGAGAGTTTTATGCTGTTTTTGTAAATCCATTTTTTAAATCTGAAGTATTGATGGATTAATCGTTCATTTATAAAATCCTTTTACAATTCCTATTTTTAATGCCTATTAAAATGCTTTATTACTTTTCCTGTGACATCCCTGGACCTCCATAACATTCAGGGTTGAACCAAAGGCAAGTCAGTGCAACAATGACTATTCAAAACAAAATGTCTGTTAACTACACCTTCCCTACACCTATCTGCCCCCATTAAATCAAACCAAGGCTGGAAACAGGCCTATTTTGCTCAACATGTACAATAACTACATGGTGTGCCTACAATAATTAGAAGGTAGTGGTACTAAGTGATAAGTAATGGTAAGGTTCCATTACAAGCACTGCTATCATATACAGTATATACAGTACATACATCTATTTTATAATAACCGAAGTCCAAAATCATAACAGAAACTCCGCTCCTGCTACATTTTACAGTAGGTTCAGTCCCAGACTGGTGAAAGCCGGTGGTCTCTCAACTCTGTGTGACTTACTCTAGCTGGTCATAGTTGACACACATGAGAGGGACCTCAGTGCTGCAGCGCTGGTGGAACTTGTATCCACAGGTCTGACAGCGGAAACCCTGGAACAGCAGCTTTCTGCAGAAGTCGCAGAAGGCCAGTGTGAAGAAGGTCTTCCTCACCTGTCAATCAAACAGACACACAAATGTACAATCAGGTAAGATAATCAGCACATAATGTTTCCTGTCTGTCATGTGAGCCATGATGTTTGAGATTGTTGTCTGACGGTGCTTACAAAGTTGTGTGTGGTGAGCGGCACGTTCTCCAATACTTCTACGTGTAACTCTTCTCCTGTCAGCCAGGAGATGTCTGTGTCCCAGCCAATGGGCTTCTTCTCTCTGAAACAGGAAGTTAATGTTCCACTGATTTACATAGTATGATTATGACATAATATAGTTTTTCCCCTTCATCAATCTACACTCAATTCCCCAACAACAAAGCAAGAATTATAATACTCTATTATAAATTTCTAAACTTTTTGCAAATGTATTATAAAAGGAAAAACTGAAATATCACATTGACATAAGTATTCAGACACGTTGCTATGACACTTGAATTTTAACTCAGGTTCCTTTCATTATTTGATCATCTCTGAGATGTTGCTACATCCAGATTGGACTCCACCTGAGCACAGTGGTCTCCATCATTCTTAAATGGAAGAAGTTTGGAACAACCAGGACTCTTCTAGAGATGGACGCCCAGACTAAGTGAGAAATGGGAGAAGGGTCTTGGTAAAAGAGCAGACCAATAACCTTATGGTCACTCTGACTGAGCTCCAGAGATCCCGGAACAGCACTAAACTCCAGAGAACAGCAGCTTTCAGAAATTCAGAAATCAGTCATAAAGCTTACTCTCATAGAAAATATGAACATGAACCATTTGTGTGAAATTTTACCGTAATTGCTGAAGTCTTGAGCGTTTTGTGAGTTCACTGTGACCTTGACGTTTAACCTTTAGCCACCAAAATCTAATCAGTCTGTCCTTGAGTCCAAGTGAATGTCTGTGCCAAATTTGAGGAAGTTCCATTAACGCGTTACTGAGATATCGTGTCCACGAGGACGGGACAGACAGACAACCGTGATGACAATATGCCCGTAGTCCTGACTGTCGCCAGCTGAACCGGTGGAACGCAGAACAGTTGACGAAAAAACTATAAATTGTGTATATTCAACTAAAATACAAATCTATTATGCAAGTGCGAATATAGTACGTAACAAACAGTGTTACTTGACACTAGTGTGTGGACAAGATACATCAGAAGAATGCGTGTTAGTTAGTCCCCTCTACAGTAGGTTAGTGACAGACTTACCCATCCTGTATCCTGTACACTGCACAGCACTCTGGAATGAGGCCTCGCATCATCAGCGCTTTCTTCAGTGAGTCTCTCACAGTCATCCCACAGCGGGCCGGGACCTGCGCACAGAACAACAGTCACTGACCCGACACGGTACACCAACAGGAGACTAACAGCAGAAAGCAAATGAGCTGAGACAACCACACCAACTTGATGTACTGCAAAGTCGGAGTAAGAATGACCTTAGCAGCCCTTTGCGTTGGTGATCACCGTTTCAGGCCTGGTAGCCGGGTTTTTAAATCTACAGCCTCCCACTGTGGAGCTCATCAAAGTGAAAGGGGGTCAACTACATTCACTAGACCAGAGAGACACAAAAGACACCTCCTGGTGGTTGTCTGCCTCCTCCACTCAGACTAGTTTCAGGTTACATCCCTGTTTATCCAGAGTCATAGAAAATATAATATATTTGTGTGAAATTTTGTCATAATTGCTGTGTGAGGTCTTGAGTAATGGCTACAAAGTGTTTTGTGAGGTCACACTGACCTTGAGCTTTGACCAACAAAATCTAATTAGTTCATCATTTAGTCCATTTGAATGTTTGTGCCAAAATTTGAAGAAGTTCTGTCAAGGCATTACTGACATATTGTGTCCATGAGAATGGGACGGATGTAGGGACAACTTGAAAACAATATGCCTCATCTCTGACTTCCAAAAAAAGTTCCTGTAAATAGACAAAACGAAACTAATGACACCCTGTGCAGAGCCTCAGCTCCAAGAAGAATCTGAACTCACTGCACCACTCATCCTTAACATTAGGGCTGTTAACACTTTGATTTCGTCAGTCTGATCCACAATGAAAAACTCTTTTGCAGAGACTTTGTCTAACTGCCAAATAACCAGGGGTGTGTTAATTATGAAAATCGCTTTTCAGCAGTCAGCAATGTTTCTGATTACAATATATGTTCACTCTCCAAGTTGCAAATATTGTGGAAGCCCTTAAAGAGGAAGTTTTGGTATTTTTCAACCTGGCGATAGTGGCCATTGTGACTCTATGGGTTATGCTAAACTTTGCACTTACCATTTCTGCTGTGGACATTCAAACAAACAGAGACTTGTGCAAAAAAAATGTACATGAGTGCGAGCACAAGTTAACACTGGCCAGTGTATTTAGTCATCTCACACCATATTCTAAGTGGTTGGTTTGTAAACACGGGTTGTAGCAGCAGTGACATTGTCAGAGTTTTTAAAGCAGGCTGCAGCTGTACATCTGAAAGCCAGATTTTGTCTTCAGAGCTCAACTGATAAACTGGCTGATTTCATCACAGATATAAGTTTGGTGTATGCAGGAAATGTCAGCACAGAAATGTCAGAGGTCATTCAGAAACAGTTTTCTAAATTGAAATGTGTCCCACAGTGACCACTCTCTAAAAGTCTGCAACTTTAAAATGTTTTACTCAATACAAATCTTGGTCAAATCAAAACATATACTTTTTATAGAGAGGTTGGCCTGAGAAACCCAGTATCAGTCAGGCTTTAGTCTTCTTGTAAATACAGTATTGCAGTATCTATTGTTTTTACTCTAAATGAGGCATTTTGGAAACTAAGTACATGCTTTCGGTTGGTTGATGTGCAAACAAAAAATGAAAGTCATTGGCCTCATCCAATCGGCAACCTCCAGGGCTGAAAAATGAAAACCCTGAAGTGAATGAAAATCCCTCCCAACATGTCTGATGTCATTGCACATTGAGGCAAACATTTCTGTAGCCTGTGTAATTTCCAAGGTGGAGCAACACTTAAAACACAATAAATGTGTTTTTGGTGTCTTATAATCTTGGGAAATCAAAATCTCAAACCTTAAAATCATGATCACAACACGTGTATCCTCTGAGAAGACGTCAGACATACCACTGTTCTCTGTTTGTTGGGCAGGAAGACCCTAACGATGGGTTTCTGGGGGGAGCGAGGGTTGGCTCGGCTGGCGTCAGTGGGGGTCTGCAGGACAGCCAAGGTGTTAGGGGCTGAGGGAAAGGCCTGCGCCCCCCCTCCGACCCCACAGCCTCCCATCTTGACCTCCAGAAGGGCTGGCATTGGAGAAGGAGAGCAGGAGAAGTCTGTACCATTCCCCATGGCCTCCAGCAGCTGCTGCTCCCTCTGCTGCAGGGCGTCTAGTTTACTGGTGTACTCCTCATAGGCCTGGTAGGGACAACACACCAGAGAGCCTTCACTCAACAGCTTCAAAGCCTCAAGTGACACTCACAAGATTTATTTTCTGGAAAGTTATATTTACTAAAAGCCAAAACACTCTTACCTCTAGATATATGGAGGGAGGATTGTGTTCTCCTCCAAACTTGTCCAGTAGAGCCTCTAAGTGTTCTTGTGTCAACTTTATCATCTGTTTGATATTCCATATCTGTGGGGGAAACACACCAAACAATGTTAAGGAGTTGATATCTCTCAGTAACTGAACAACAACCTGAGTCCGAGGTCTAGAGAATGAATCTCCCATGACTTCATGGAAACAGAGACATGGAAAACTACAGGTTGGACATTGTTTTTAATGACTTGTGAACCTACAGAGGTGATAACCTGGGGTGGACAGTAATGAAGTATATTTACTAGAGTACTGTACTTAAATATATTTTTGAGTATCTGTACTTTATTTTAGTATTACTTCTTTTGGAAACTTCTGAATTTTACTTCACTACACAAATATTGTACATTTGACTCCACATTTAAATGAAGTACTCAATTCTTCAGTGGAGATTCTTCACCAGAGCACCATGGCATTATCTTAAGTCCATGTTCGAAAATTTAGAAATAAAGAAAATCTAATCTTTTTAAATGTTTGCTGTGATTACCACTAACAAACCTCATCACTTCCTTAAAAAAAAAAAAGAAAAAGGAAATACTGAAACCTTTTGTTGATTTAATTGTGTTTTTATGACCATTTCTTTCAGACTTGTATAATATCATCTTTTTATTCTACAGGTTCTACAGTCAGTCAGTAGGTTATTTCAGTCATTAGGTTCTGTAAATGTGGAACAACACAACAATGAGTTGACATAGAAAATGTACTTTTGAACACTTCAGTATTTTTAAAATCAAGTCCTCCAGTACTTTAACTCTGTTTTTCAATCAGAAAAAATCTGATTGAACAACTTTCACTTGTATTGGAGTCTATTTGACCAACGGGAAATGGGTGGACTCTGCTGGAGAAGGACTCAACTGAGCATGCTCTGTAGGCTCAAAACTGTGGAAGCACGAGGAAGCAAGGAATACAAACATTTTTCTGCTGCATCATCTTTGAACACGGTATCCACTTCAGTGTTTCCCACTGTGTATATTCACCAGTGACACACACCCACAGCCAAATTATGAAATTTCACATGGTTTATTAACATTCATAACAAAACGTAACCAGCACCAAATTATGCTTTCTTAACTGTGCGTATGTGCTTGGTGCTAGTATGAAAACGAAGGGGACTCAAACAAACACTTGCACACACACACTGACGAGACAGTTTAGCAGTCCAACATAGGCGGTTTAGAGTGTGTGCAGCAGCTGGCCTCTACGGTGACATGCTAGACCTACCGACCTCTCCTAACAGAAAGTCATTTACTTAGCTAACTTCTTCGGCATAGAGTAGAAGAAACATGAAACAGAAGCACGAGTACCAGAACTGAACAAAGTGAACATTTCTGAATGGCCATGGCAAAGTGAGCTCTATTAAGCCGTCTAGTGCAACTCACAGTATATGAAACTTACCGTTATGCTCATGGCTGGGTTGATGTCAAAAAAAAAAAAAAATTCTTATCAAATTTAATCTGTAGACCTTTTAGTATAAATAGTAGTATAGCCGTATCGTAAATAGCCTATTCTCTCCCACCATTGCTCAATGTATTACACAGTCTATTTTGAGAGCCATTGATTTACACTATTCTTTTGCCCTACTTTTCATCTTGTTGACAATCAGACATTGCATTTACCCTGTATTAGTTAGTAAATACAGTTCCTTATTTAAACCCAGTCACTATCCTGTTCAGCCATTGAATTGAGAGGTCACAGCTTCTGACATTAGACCGATTGGGCTCATTCATTTGTAATTGATTAGGCTAATAAATAAAAAATCAAACGAAAGGTTCCTCCCAAAAAGGGGGAGGTGGTGCCCTAACGCTGGTGCCCCAGATGTGGCCTTTGTTACTCTACATAGTGCAATGCCCATCAAGCTGGAGCGTGACCTTTGATGTTATCAGTGACACCTCAAAGGGTTGTGTGTCAATTCAAAAGACAAGATGGTTACCATGCACGCAACAGCAAGTATACTCTAAAATAAATGGAGGAATTATAACAAATCCACTTCCTTGGGTCCTCAGCAATACACTCGCCAAGTCTGAGGTCGATCGATGAGCAGTTGTCGAGAAAATTAAAGTACAGACAGACAGAGAGTCCTCCATTTGGACTAGTGCAGCACCTGCGCAACATGAGCCTGTCAGTAGCATGACAGGATTTCATAACTGAGATCACCAAGATGCCAATGTTTGTTTTTGATGTCTTGAGATGCCAGATAATAATGAAGAAAGATGTTAAAATGTGATTGCGTGATGTGTTTTAAGGTAAAACATAACATGTCATTTACAGTATTATTGTCTGAGTCACATGGCCCATCAATATCTGTACTGTATTCAGAGCATAACAAGATATTTAAGGCTGACATACAGTATCGTTAACCGTGATACACAGCAAGGCTAGTTACATACTCCCCTACCAACATACACACACACACACACACACACACACACCCACACACACACACACACACACACACACCCACACACACACACACACACACACACACCCACACACACACACACACACACACACACACACAGGAGGAGCTCTCAGTGCTAGCACATCTACAACACAGATATCCCCACAGTGACCCTATCAAAGCTCCATCAGTTTCAATGCTTTCCAGCAAAGACACAGAGTCTGACAGCAGCTTCTCTTGGCTGCTGAGCCGACTACCAGCTCTTCCTCGTGTCTTTCCTATTACATCATACACTGCGTAGCCACGAGGCCATGCCTCCCCCTCCTTTTTAAATATGCTGGAAAACAGGCTTCAAGCAGAATTTGAATGTGTAGTTACCCTTTCAAAAGGGGCTTCTCTTAGGTAAATATAACAGGTTGCAGCAAGGTGGTACAAGTGGTGCAACATCATGTAACAACAACAGTGAGCCAACAATTTCAATTACTATAGGATTCTATTGACCATTAAAACAGTGCAAACTAGGGCTTGATAATAAATGTCATTTTGACTCGCTCCTCTCTTAGTCTTGTATGACAATGATTTTGATGAACTGTGGGTGGGAAGAAACATATGTGTGAGAGAGATGGAAAAGTAACATGTCAAAAGAAAACACTTGACGAACCACAAAATCTAGAACAAAATTGTAGATTCTTTAATTAATTAATTGGTTAGTCTGTTAAAGGACCAGTGTATTGGATCTAGGGGATCTATTGGCAGAAATGGAATATAATTATGTTTTCATTAGTGTATTTCACCTGAAACTATGAATGGTTGTATTTTCATTAGCTTCGAATGAGCCTTTCACATCTACACAGTGAGCAGGCGGAGCCCGCCATGTTTCTACAGTAGCAGTCTATGGATGGTGTTTCACGTTTTTACACGATACCTTAAGGCCACTCTAGGGTTCTCCTACACGCTTGGAAAGAGAAGGGAAAATGGAGGGGTATTCAGTTGGTTGCTATTGGAAACCTCACCAGTAGATATCCAATAAAAGTTGAATTTAGGGGAACTGGACTTGGTCGTTTCACCACTCATCCAAGAGGCTTCTTCAGTATTGACTGACCGGTGAGGAGAACCAGATATTTAGCCTACGTGGGATCGTTATCAAGGCCACTACTGTCATTTGGTTTGTTAGTGTTCCTGGTGACTGACTGTTGTTGGAGTCGTAGACATCCTCCTCTGTTGAATTATAGTTTCTCTGCTTTGACACAGATGGCATCCTTTACTCTTTTCAAACCACCTGTCCTACTCATCTAAAATATTTACATAGTTGTCATCAAAGGAGTGTCCTGGCCTGAGGAGCTGGCCGCCCTCTGTTGAGCCATGCATTTCTTTAGTGATTGTTTTGTTTCCTTGATATATAGGTTTGTGCTTTACTTAAGATTAAATCGTAAACTGAACTAGATTGCTTCTCTGGGTGCATGATCTTTTGGATCAACCAATTTTTGTCTTAATGTGTTGCTGGGTCTGAAAAACACAGGGATGTGATGCTTGTTTTAGATCCTCCTGAGTTTCTAAGACACTCTAGGCACGTATGGGATGACAATGTTGCTGCTGTTTTTACAAAGGTCCAGTTGTGGTATCCAAGCTTTAAGTGCATCCTTCAGGTGTTTGTGCTTCTTCTCTTGGGCCTGGACACTTGTTGACACATCTCAGTTTTGCAGGATTCTTATAACTCCTAGTTCGTGTTCCTGTGGGTGGTGAGAGTCAAAGAGTAGGTACTGGTCTGTGTGTGGGGGTTTCCTGTGTACTCTTCAATTTGTACGACAAAGTCCATAAAAGGCAAGCTGTTGTTTCTAACATCCTCTCATGTGAACTTGATGTTTTTGTCCACTGGGTTAATGTGTCCTGTGAAGGCTTGCACTTCCTGGGTTTTAATTTCTCAGCTCATAGCTGTTCCTTCTGGAAGAGTTCAGGGGCCCACTTTCTACTTGCTCCATTTAGAAGTTGGCGGGAGATGTGTTTTTGTCTATAAAACCCCCGTTGTACTGGAAATAGGTAGTGGTCAGGCCAGAGGTCCAGCAGTTCGCATATCTGGTCTGGGTTGAGGTTGGTTCTATTATGAATTGTGCTGTTATGTAGCAGGCATTGCTCTACAGTTTCCAACACCTCCATAGTTTGTAAGCATGTGAACAATGAGGTCACGTCATAGGACACCATGATTTGATCTGGGACCAGTTCAATCCTCAAATCTTGTTTACAAAGTCCATGGAGTTTTGAATATGGTAAAAAGTGAGTCATCAAAGGTGCTAAGATGGTAACTTTGTTATCAATGTTGCAGGTCACTCAGTTGATGCTGCTGAAGAGGAGGTGGTTCCTTCTTTGTGAGTCTTGGGGAGCCAACACATACATTGGATAGCTTTGCCTGGATATGGGCGATTCTTCCTTCTGTAACTTCTGTAAACATTCTATTGCCTTCTTCTTGTAGCCACGGGTCGGGTCTCGCATCCAGTATTTCATATGTGTTGGTGTCACCGAGTAGTGTGGTGACCTTGGCATGTTAATAAGCTGTCTTTAGAACCACTATACATGTTCCCTTATCTGCCAGTAGGATGGGGATGTTTCGGTCTTCGCTTTGTGATTGGATAACCGTGACGTGGAT